AGACACACACAGAGACCCACAGACACACACAGAGACCCACAGACACACACAGACCCACAGACACACACAGAGACCCACAGACACGCACATAGACCCACAGACACCGCACATAGACCCACAGACACGCACAGAGACCCACAGACACGCACAGAGACCCACAGACATGCACAGAGACCCACAGACACACACAGAGACCCACAGACACACACAGAGACCCACAGACACGCACAGAGACCCACAGACACAGCACAGACACAGCACAGACACAGCAAGCAGCACAACACAGACAGATCGCGTAAATATGTGTCGTTAAACCCGCCACCACCCGACACAGCCAACTAATAAAGCTTGTCACGTAAACAGAACGTGTCATTTCGTCACTAGTACAGCACGCCGGTTGTGTGTTGGAGAGCCAAGCCCCAACATTTACAATCTGAGTCCGACGTTTCGCCAGTAATTACAACCGGCATCACATATACATGATAAGTCATTATATATATACGCAGTACTGATCTTCCTCTCCGGTTCCTTACGTTTTTTCGAACAGCACGACCGCTTAAATTGTTCGGTTGTTGCCCATCCTGCACGTGTCCACATAGTGCCAGCCTCATCCGCACCACTGCCTGCATCGTTGGGTCTTCGCAACTTCTTGTCCCCTCACTTCTGCGTTGGGTCACTCTTTGTGCCCTGTTTAGATGCTGCAGCAGCAGCAGCATCCTTCTGTAGCAATAGCTCATCGCTGTCAGTCTTTTTCAATGTCCGTGTGTCTCTCGCAGGCGTACAAAGCCGTACCGAACACGCACGTTCATCATCACGTAAACGCTCACAGCCGCAGTTCAATCCAAGCGGCTATACTGCTGCCTCCTTGCTGGACATTGCATCTTGACGCCAACGGAAACGCGGCGTGATCCACCAACCCCCGCCGTCTCTGGCAGCTCGGGCTCGCAGTGTGCTCGGCAGTGGTGGAACGCCCCGGAACACCGCGGCGGGAGTGAAAATGTTAACCCGGCTTCGTTCCAGAAGGAGTCAAGGATTCATATTTATTTATTTGACTCAGAGACCCCCCCCCCCCCCCAGACAAACTAGGAGACCGACAGGCACGCACAGAGACCCATAGATACGCACATAGACCCACAGACACGCACAGAGACCCACAGACACGCACATAGACCCACAGACACACACATAGACCCACAAACACGCACAGAGATCCACACACACATACAGAGACCCACAGACACGCACAGAGACCCACAGACACGCACAGAGACCCACAGACACGCACAGAGACCCACATACACGCGCAGCGACCCACAGACACGCACATAGACCCACAGACACGCACAGAGACCCACAGACACGCACATAGACCCACAGACACGCACATAGACCCACAGACACGTGCATAGACCCACAGACACGCACAGAGACCCACAGACACGCACAGAGACCCACAGACACGCGCAGCGACCCACAGACATGCACAGAGACCCATAGACACGCACATAGACCCACAGACACGCACAGAGACCCACAGACACGCACATAGACACACAGACACGCGCATAGACCCACAGACACGCACAGAGACCCACAGACACGCACAGACCCACAGACACACACAGAGACCCACAGACACGCACAGAGACCCACAGACACGCGCAGAGACCCACAGACACACACAGATACCCACAGACACGTGCAGAGACCCACAGACACACACATAGACCCACAGACACGCGCAGACGCACAGACACGCACATAGACCCACAGACACACACATAGACCCACAGACACACACAGAGACCCACAGACACGCGCAGAGACCCACAGACACGCACAGAGACCCACATACACGTGCAGAGACCCACAGACACGCACAGAGACCCACAGACACACACAGAGACCCACAGACACGTGCAGAGACCCACAGACACGCACAGAGACCCACAGACACACACAGAGACCCACAGACACGCACAGACACGCACATAGACCCACAGACACGTGCAGAGACCCACAGACACGCACAGAGACCCACAGACACGCACATAGACCCACAGACACGCACAGAGACCCACAGACACGTACAGAGACCCACAGACACGCGCAGAGACCCACAGACACGCGCAGAGACCCACAGACACGCACATATACCCACAGACACGTGCAGAGACCCACAGACACGCACAGAGACCCACAGACACGCGCAGAGACCCACAGACACGCCCATAGACCGACAGACACACACATAGACCCACAAACACGTGCAGAGACCCACAGACACGCACAGAGACCCACAGACATGCACAGAGACCCACAGACACGCACAGAGACCCACACACACGCACATAGACCCACAGACACGCGCAGAGACCCACAGACACGCGCAGAGACCCACAGACACGTACAGAGACCCACAGACACATGCAGAGACCCACAGACACGCACATAGACCCACAGACACGCGCAGAGACCCACAGACACGCACAGAGACCCACAGACACACGCAGAGACCCACAGACACGTGCAGAGACCCACAGACACGCACAGAGACCCACAGACACGCACAGAGACCCACGGACACGCACAGAGACCCACAGACACGCACAGAGACCCACATACACACACAGAGACCCACAGACACGCGCAGAGACCCACAGACACACACAGAGACCCACAGACACGCGCAGCGACCCACAGACACGCACAGAGACCCACAGACACGCCCATAGACCCACAGACACACACAGAGACCCACAGACACGCACAGAGACCCACAGACACGCACATAGACCCACAGACACGCGCAGAGACCCACAGACACACACAGAGACCCACAGACACACACAGAGACCCACAGACACGTACAGAGACCCACAGATACGCACAGAGACCCACAGACACGTGCAGAGACCCACAGACACGCACATAGACCCACAGACACGCGCAGAGACCCGCAGACACGTACAGAGACCCACAGACACGCACATAGACCCACAGACACGCGCAGAGACCCACAGACACGCACAGAGACCCACAGACACGCACATAGACCCACAGACACGTGCAGAGACCTACAGACACGCACAGAGACCCACAGACACGCACAGAGACCCACAGACACGCACATAGACCCACAGACACGTGCAAAGACCCACAGACACGCACAGAGACCCACAGACACGCACATAGACCCACAGACACGCACAGAGACCCACAGACACACGCAGAGACCCACAGACACACACAGAGACCCACAGACACACACAGAGACCCACAGACACACGCAGAGACCCACATACACGCACATAGACCCACAGACACGCACATAGACCCACAGACACGTGCAGAGACCCACAGACACACGCAGAGACCCACAGACACGTGCAGAGACCCACAGACACGCACATAGTCCCACAGACACGTGCAGAGACCCACAGACACACACAGAGACCCACAGACACGCACAGAGACCCACAGACACGCACAGAGACCCACAGACACGTACAGAGACCCGCAGACACGTGCAGAGACCCACAGACACGCACAGAGACCCACAGACACACACAGAGACCCACAGACACGCAGAGACCCACAGACACACACATAGACCCACAGACACGCACATAGACCCACAGACACGTGCAGAGACCCACAGATACACACAGAGAGCCACAGACACACGCAGAGACCCACAGACACACACAGAGACCCACAGACACGTGCAGAGACCCACAGACACGCACAGAGACCCACAGACACGCACAGAGACCCATAGATACGCACAGAGACCCACAGACACGCGCAGAGACCCACAGACACGCGCAGAGACCCACAGACACGTGCAGAGACCCACAGACACGTGTAGAGACCCACAGACACGCGCAGAGACCCACAGACACGCACAGAGACCCACAGACATGCCCAGAGACCCACAGACACACGCAGAGACCCACAGACACGCACAGAGACCCACAGACACACACAGAGACCCACAGACACGCACAGAGACCCACAGACACACACAGAGACCCACAGACACGCACAGAGACCCACAGACACGCACAGAGACCCACAGACACGTGCAGAGACCCACAGACACGCACAGAGACCCACAGACACACACAGAGACCCACAGACACGCACAGAGACCCACAGACACACACAGAGACCCACAGACACGCAGAGACCCACAGACACACACAGAGACCCACAGACACGCAGAGACCCACAGACACACACAGAGACCCACAGACACGCAGAGACCCACAGACACGCACAGAGACCCACAGACACGTGTAGAGACCCACAGACACGCACAGAGACCCACAGACACACACAGAGACCCACAGACACGCACAGAGACCCACAGACACACACAGAGACCCACAGACACGCACAGAGACCCACAGACACGCACAGAGACCCACAGACACGCACAGAGACCCACAGACACGTGCAGGCCAGAGCTGTCCCGAGGGTACTGGGAATTGGGGCGACCGCCCCGAGCCCCGCACTTTGGTAGAGGGGTGGGGCGGTGGGGGGGGGGTGGAGGGGGGTGGTGGGGGTGTGGGGGGGTTGGGGGGGGTGGAGGGGGTGGTGGGGGTGGAGGGGAGGGGTGGTGGGGGTGGAGGGGAGGGGTGGTGGGGGTGGAGGGGAGGGGTGGTGGGGGTGGAGGGGAGGGGTGCTTCGACGTTTCAAGTCGTCGGCGGGCCCACAGTGGGATTTGCCCCACGCCCAGCAACCCCCCCCCCCCCCCCATAGACACCCCTGGTCATTCCATAAAGACCGGGGAGACAAAGGCGGCCGGGCGTGGTGCTGGCCACCTGCCCCCTCGTGTCCCGTGCCAGCCTTCATAGGTGCTACTCACTAACGTGCACTTGCTCCTACAGTGTGCTAAGGCTATACGGGGGGTTTTTGTCTTTGTGTGTGAATGTGTGAATGAACTTTGTGTGTGAATGTGTGAATGAACTTTGTGTGTGAATGTGTGTGAGCAGGTATGGTGGGTTGACGATCCTCATCAGTTCCACAGACACCACCGATGTGGAGACATTCAGAAACCAACTGAAAGGTTTCTGCTTCTGCTTCTTCCACATTCCTGTGACCAAGGCCATGCGCATTCCTTCATTTGTACACCACGATAGGCATGCGCAACATTTAAACAAGACGTGTGTGTGTGGTTGTGGTTGATGTGCCCATTTATTTTGTGGTATTTTGTTATTGTGTTAGCGTTATGGATATTGTTAAGGGTAGTATTGTTGATAAGGGTTAGGATTATTGTGAGCACTAGTGAAAGGGTTATCATTAGGGTTACTCAATGGGTAGACATGTGAGTCTATGAGTCTCTGTGTGAGTCTATGAGTCTCTGTGTGAGTCTATGGGTTTCTGTGTGAGTCTATGGGTTTCTGTGTGAGTCTGTGGGTCTCTATAGGAGTACGTGGGTTTCTATGCGAGTCTACGGGTCTCTCTGAGTCTATGGGTCTCTCTGAGTCTATGGGTCTCTGAGTCTATGGGTCTCTCTGAGTCTATGGGTCTCTCTGAGTCTATGGGTCTCTCTGAGTCTATGGGTCTCTCTGAGTCTGTGGGTCTCTGAGTCTATGGGTCTCTGAGTCTGTGGGTCTCTCTGAGTCTATGGGTCTCTCTGAGTCTATGGGTCTCTGAGTCTGTGGGTCTCTCTGAGTCTGTGGGTCTCTTTGAGTCTATGGGTGTGTGTATGTGGGTCTCTGTGTGAGTCTGTGGGTCTCTATAGGAGTATGTGGGTTTCTATGTGAGTCTGGGTCTCTATAGGAGTCTGTGGGTCTCTCTGAGTCTGTGGGTCTCTCTGAGTCTATGGGTCTCTCTGAGTCTATGGGTGTGTGTATGTGGGTCTCTGTGTGAGTATGTGGGTTTCTATGTGAGTCTGTGGGTCTCTGTGCGAATCTATGGGTCTCTGTATGAGTCTATGGGTCTCTGTGTGATTCTATGGGTCTCTGTGTGAGTATATGGGTTTCTGTGTGAGTCTGTGGGTCTCTAGGAGTACGTGGGTTTCTATGTGAGTCTGTGGGTCTCTGTGTTAGTCTATGGGTCTCTGTATGAGTCTATGGGTCTCTGTGTGATTCTATGGGTCTCTGTGTGAGTCTTAGAGCAGATGGTGGAGGTCTCGGTTTCTCTCCTGTCCATCATCTATGGGATCTGGTGGAGGATAGTGAGCGAGGGTAGCGATATGTGGTGGTAGTGGTGATGGTGGTGGTGGTGGCGGCAGCGGCAGTGGCGGTGATGGTTCCATCAACGATGACGTCTTGATCCCGACCGTCACGTTTAACATCGTATCGTACCGTGACGAATTATAGTGCCAACCTCCTGTGAATGGTGCCACAGACTCGCTGTTCGTGTGGACCCTGGAGGGCGTGCGTGGCCTCTGGCTCTGCCTTCCCATCGAGCGTGCAGACCTCGTCCCCGTCGCCGTCAAGGTAAGCGGACATTCCACGCTCCCGTGACGAGTGCCGGGAATATCTCCCCCGTAGCGCGACAGCACTTGTTCACCTCCCCTCTGCCGTGGATGATGCTACCCAGAAAAATCGGCCACAAAGAAGGGCTGCTGTCTCTGGTGTGTTAGGCTAAATCAGTTTCAAAGACATTATCAGAGCGTGTTCACCACAAGTACCGTGTGTGGTTAAAGCAGTCACTTGATTCCTTGCAAAATGTTTCTATTTGGTGTTTGAACATCTTAACACAACTCTTGGTTTATTGCCAGAAAGGGTAAAACCAAAATATTGTTTTTCATACTTTGATCCTGGCAAAAAAGGTCACATGGTATGGATGCTACCCTGTTTATCCACCCACCCCCTCGCTTGCCGTGCCGGTCTTCATAGGTGTTACTCGCTCACGGCACTTGCCCCAGCGGTCTGTAGAGGCTACACAGGGGACCTTTGTCTTTGTGTGGGCGCAGTGTGGGTTCGTCTACCATCACGCGCTGCCCTCCTACTGCATGCTGACCGCATGGCTGCCCCGAGACTCAACCAGCACCATCCCCGCGTACGCCTCTCACTATGTGGGTGAGTGTGGGTGAGTGTGGGTGAGTGTGGGTGAGCAAGTGTGGGTGAGCAAGTGTGGGTGAGCAAGTGTGGGTGAGCAAGTGTGGGTGAGTGTGAGCGAGTGTGGGCGAGCGTGGGTGAGCGTGGGTGAGTGTGGGTGAGTGTGGGTGAGCGTGGGTGAGCGTGGGTGAACGTGGGTGAGTGTGGGTGAGCGTGGGTGAGCAAGTGTGGGTGAGTGTGTGTGAGTGTAGGTGAGCAAGTGTGGGTGAGCAAGTGTGGGTGAGCAAGTGTGCGTGAGTGTGGGTGAGCGTGGGTGAGTGTGGGTGAGCGTGGGTGAGCAAGTGTGGGTGAGCTTGGGTGAGCTTGGGTGAGCGTGGGTGAGCGTGGGTGAGTGTGGTGGAGCGGAGTGGAGCATGGTGGAGTAGGGGTGACGTGCATCGCAGCCCGCTCATGATGGTGCTGGTGATGATGATGTAGGGGTTGGGGGGCTCGTGGTGAGTGATGATGGTGGTGGTGATGATGATGTAGGAGTTGGAGGCGTCGTGGTGAGTGATGATGGTGGTGATGTTGATGTTGGTGTAGGAGTTGGAGGTGTCGTGGTGAGTGATGATGTTGATGATGTTGATGTTGATGTAGGAGTTGGAGGTGTCGTGGTGCGTGATGATGGTGATGATGTTGATGGTGATATAGGAGTTGGGGGGCTCGTTGTGAGTGATGATGTTGATGATGTTGATGGTGATGTAGGAGTTGGAGGCGTCGTGGTGAGTGATGATGGTGATGTTGATGTTGGTGTAGGAGTTGGAGGTGTCGTGGTGAGTGATGATGGTGATGATGTTGATATTGGTGTAGGAGTTGGAGGCCTCGTGGTGAGTGATGATGGTGGTGATGTTGATGGTGGTGTAGGAGTTGGAGGCGTCATGGTGAGTGATGATGGTGGTGATGTTGATGGTGATATAGGAGTTGGAGGTGTCGTGGTGAGTGATGATGGTGGTGATGTTGATGGTGGTGTAGGAGTTGGAGGCCTCGTGGTGAGTGATGATGGTGGTGATGTTGATGGTGGTGTAGGAGTTGGAGGCCTCGTGGTGAGTGATGATGGTGGTGATGTTGATGTTGGTGTAGGAGTTGGAGGCCTCGTGGTGAGTGATGATGGTGGTGATGTTGATGGTGATGTAGGAGTTGGAGGCCTCGTGGTGAGTGATGATGGTGGTGATGTTGATGGTGGTGTAGGAGTTGGAGGCCTCGTGGTGAGTGATGATGGTGGTGATGTTGATGTTGGTGTAGGAGTTGGAGGCCTCGTGGTGAGTGATGATGGTGGTGATGTTGATGGTGATGTAGGAGTTGGAGGCCTCGTGGTGAGTGATGATGGTGGTGATGTTGATGGTGGTGTAGGAGTTGGAGGCATCGTGGTGAGTGATGATGGTGGTGATGTTGATGATGATGTAGGAGTTGGAGGCCTCGTGGTGAGTGATGATGGTGGTGATGTTGATGTTGGTGTAGGAGTTGGAGGTGTCGTGGTGAGTGATGATGTTGATGATGTTGATGGTGATGTAGGAGTTGGAGGTGTCGTGGTGAGTGATGATGTTGATGATGTTGATGGTGATGTAGGAGTTGGGAGGCGTCATGGTGAGTGATGATGGTGGTGATGTTGATGGTGGTGTAGGAGTTGGAGGCCTCGTGGTGAGTGATGATGGTGGTGATGTTGATGGTGGTGTAGGAGTTGGAGGCATCGTGGTGAGTGATGATGGTGGTGATGTCGATGTTGGTGTAGGAGTTGGAGGCCTCGTGGTGAGTGAAGAGGGCCTCGTTCTGCTCATTCAGGAGAAGTTTGCCAAGGGCCACGGCTGCTGGAAGCTCCCGGGAGGTCACGTGGAACCCGGTGGGGTCATACACAGTACAGTACAACGCCCCTGCGTACAACGTGCCGACGATGTGAACCCAACGACCCGATATTTATCGCCAAAATCAAACGTTATCTGGTGATGCTGCGGCTGCTACGGTGTCGGTGGGGCACAAACAACGACTGAACACCTTAGTCAAGAACGCTTTGCGGCCTTAAAATAAAAAGATATATCGTGGGCGACGTTTCGGGCAATGCCCCTCCTTCATAGCACGTATACATAAATGTCGCTTATTATATATTTTTCCTTTTTAGGACAAGACAAAGACCCCCGTATAGCCTGAACAGACTTTTGGGGCAAGTGCTGTTAGCGATAAGCAGCGCCTATGACGGCCGGCACGGCACACGAAAGGGGGTGGGTGGCCAGCACCACGCCCGGCCACCTTTGTCTCCCCAGTGGCGATGTTTACTACACACCCCACCAGGTTCTCATTTGAGGCCGAGTCGACCTAGGGGAGGCCCAGGATCAGTTTAGAAAATTGTCACCGGTGTTGGTGGCCGTGAGCGGGAATCGAACTCGGGTCGCCGGGTTCGCAGCGCTAACCACGACACTACCACTTTTAAGGGCACACACCCCACACATACACACCCCACACACACACACCCCACACACACACACCCACACCCCACACATACACACCCCACACACACACACCCCACACACACACACCCACACCCCACACATACACACCCCACACACACACACCCCACACACACACCCCACACATACACACCCCACACACACACACTCCACACACTTACACTCCACACACGCACCCCACACACCCCACACACACACACCATACACTCCACACCCCACACACACACACACCCCACACACACACACCCCACACACACACACCCCACACACACACACTCCACACACTTACACTCCACACACGCACCCCACACACCACACACACACACCCCACACACACACACCCCACACACACACACCCCACACACACACTCCACACACATACACTCCACACACGCACCCCACACATCACACATACACCTCACACACCACACATACACCCCACACAGTTATCGACGATTGCATTGAGTTGGATTCTAGTCACTAAAACACTGAGGAACGTGTTGAGTGTTTTGTTGTCTGTATGTCTGTATGTTGCGCTTCTTTCACACCGTACGTATCCAACCGTGCTAATGGGAGGTGCTGGGAAATTACAACGAGCTAAACACAAAAAGCGGTTCTAAAGAAAAGAGTTTTTAATCTGGATTATTTAAAAAGTACACATAGCTTCAGTGGCTTCCTTACATCGGAAGGAGGAGCGTTCCAGAAGGCCGCAGAAGCGCACCTGAAAGCGCCGCGCGACGGTGCGGTGACCGCCGTCTTTATCTGACGGCCGAGCCAAACGCCGCGGCGATGACGAGCGGCGTGACGGTGTACGCCCCCTGGCGAGAACGATGATCCAAAAAAACATTCCTGCGGAGGGAGGAGCTGGTAGGAACGTTGGGTTGCTCGGTCAATGGCCAGGGTCAACGGCGGCACCACGTGGCGCATTCCACAAATATGCCCGACTGTGAGGGCGGGCACAAGCCGGCGTGAGTAGGTGAAACGTTGAGTTTTATAAGGGCACCACGGGGTGACCAGCCCCTCCCCACCCTCCCCTTCCCACCCAGCCCCTCCCCACCCAGCCCCTCACTACCCTGCCCTCTCCACCCAGCCCCACCCCTCCCACGTGGACAGACATCCACAGACATACACAATTAATCCCCTGCCTGCTGTGAATTAATCCCGGTTGGGCTTCCAGTCCACTACGTTTCCTACTACCAGTATAACGTTTACAAAACCACCCCCTCCCCCCTCGCCGCCCCCGGTGGGAGCCAGGGGAGGACCTGGGCGAGGCGGTGTGCCGCGAGGTGCGGGAGGAGACGGGCGTGAGCGTGCGCTTCCGCTCGGTGCTCGCGCTCCGACACATGCACCGCTACAGCTTCGGCTCGTCCGACCTCTACTTCGTGTGCCTGGCGCGGCCGCTCACGCGGCGGCTCCAGCCATGCCCCACCGAGATACACGCCTGCACATGGGTCCCGGTAAGCGTGCGAGTTTGTGCGTGTGGGTTTGTGATGGTGCGGGTTTGTGATGGTGTGTGTGGGTTTGTGATGGTGCGAGTTTGTGCGTGTGGGTTTGTGATGGTGTGAGTTTGTGCGTGTGGGTTTGTGATGGTGCGGGTTTGTGCGTGTGGGTTTGTGATGGTGTGGGTTTGTGTGTGTGGGTTTGTGATGGTGCGGGTTTGTGCGTGTGGGTTTGTGATGGTGCGAGTTTGTGTGTGTGGGTTTGTGATGGTGCGAGTTTGTGCGTGTGGGTTTGTGATGGTGCGGGTTTGTGTGTGTGGGTTTGTGATGGTGCGAGTTTGTGTGTGTGGGTTTGTGATGGTGCGAGTTTGTGCGTGTGGGTTTGTGATGGTGTGTGTGGGTTTGTGATGGTGCGAGTTTGTGTGTGTGGGTTTGTGATGGTGCGAGTTTGTGAGTGTGGGTTTGTGATGGTGTGAGTTTGTGTGTGTGGGTTTGTGATGGTGCGAGTTTGTGTGTGTGGGTTTGTGATGGTGCGAGTTTGTGCGTGTGGGTTTGTGATGGTGTGTGTGGGTTTGTGATGGTGCGAGTTTGTGTGTGTGGGTTTGTGATGGTGCGAGTTTGTGAGTGTGGGTTTGTGATGGTGCGAGTTTGTGAGTGTGGGTTTGTGATGGTGCGAGTTTGTGCGTGTGGGTTTGTGATGGTGCGTGTGGGTTTGTGATGGTGCGAGTTTGTGCGTGTGGGTTTGTGATGGTGCGAGTTTGTGCGTGTGGGTTTGTGATGGCGCGAGTTTGTGCGTGTGGGTTTGTGATGGTGCGGGTTTGTGTGTGTGGGTTTGTGATGGTGCGAGTTTGTGCGTGTGGGTTTGTGATGGTGCGAGTTTGTGCGTGTGGGTTTGTGATGGTGCGAGTTTGTGCGTGTGGGTTTGTGATGGTGCGAGTTTGTGTGTGTGGGTTTGTGATGGTGCGGGTTTGTGTGTGTGGGTTTGTGATGGTGCGGGTTTGTGTGTGTGGGTTTGTGATGGTGCGAGTTTGTGTGTGTGGGTTTGTGATGGTGCGAGTTTGTGTGTGTGGGTTTGTGATGGTGCGAGTTTGTGTGTATGTCTAATGGGGTGTGTTTGTGTTTGTATGGGTATGTGTGTAATGGTGTGAGTTTGTGTGTATGTCTAATGGCGTGTGTTTATGTTTGTATGGGTTTGTGTGTTATTGTGTGAGTTTGTGTGTATGTCTAATGGGGTGTGTTTGTGTGTAATGGTGTGTGTGTTATTGTGTGAGTTTGTGTGTATGTAATGGGGTGTGTGTTTATGTTGTATGAGTTTGTGTGTCATGGTGTGAGTTTGTGTGTATGTCTAATGGGGTGTGTGTTTATGTTTGTATGGGTTTGTGTGTTATTGTGTGAGTTTGTGTGTATGTCTAATGGGGTGTGTGTTTATGTTTGTATGGGTATGTGTGTTATTGTGTGAGTTTGTGTGTATGTCTAATGGCGTGTGTTTGTGTGTAATGGTGTGTGTGCATGTTGCCGTGGTTCGTGTACTGCGCTATGTATGTATGTGTGTTTCACTTCTTTCGCACCGTACGTAGCCAACCATGCTACGAAGCCGGCAAACCGAGTTTGTATTCCTGCTCATGGCCACCAGCACCCGAGACGATTATCTTAACCGGTCCTGGGCCTCCCCTAGGTCGACTCAGCCTCAAATGAGTAACCTGGTGTGGTGTTTAGTAAACATCGCCACTGGGGAGACAAAGGCGGCCGGGCCTGGTGGTGCTGACCACCCACCCCCTCGCGCACCTTGCCAGCCTCCGTAGGCGCCGCAACTCGCGAGCGGCACTTGGCCGCACCAACCTGTGTAGGCTACGCGGGGGACCTTTGTCTGCGCGTGTAGGTGGGCGAGCTGCCTTCCTTCATCTCCTCGTCGTCGTCGTCCGCATTCCACTGCTGGCTCGTCCGCGTCTGTCTCGACGCCCTCTCCTCGGGTCTCGTCATCCGCCCTCTCGACAGGGAGGCGAGCCCCACCTCGTCGTCCGCCCTCGTCTACACGGCGACGGGCGGAGACCCCCGCCGCACAGGGGTCCCCGCGGACCCCGCCGGAGAGAGACCCGACGACACCGATGCGGCAGGGTCCCCGAGAAATGCGAATACCGGGTCCCTGGGAGACAACAATAGAGGGAGCCCTATAGACCCCCTGCAGGGATCCCAAGATACCCCAATCGAGAGACCCCTAGAGACCCCAACACTGAGACCCCTAGAGACCCCAACACAGAGACCCCTAGAGACCCCAACACAGAGACCCCTAGAGACCCCAACACAGAGACCCCTAGAGACCCCAACACAGAGACCCCTAGAGACCCCAACGCAGAGACCCCTAGAGACCCCAACACAGAGACCCCTAGAGACCTCAACACAGAGACCCCTAGAGACCTCAACACAGAGACCCCTAGAGACCCCTAGAGACCCCAACACAGAGACCCCTAGAAACCCCTAGCCTAGAGACTCCAACACAGAGACCCTTAGAGACCCCAACACAGACACCCCTAGAGACCCCAACACAGAGACCCCTAGAGACCTCAACACAGAGACCCCTAGAGACCCCAACACAGAGACCCCTAGAGACCCCAACACAGAGACCCCAACACAGAGACCCCTAGAGACCCCAACACAGAGACCCCTAGAGACCTCAACACAGACCCCTAGAGACCCCAACACAGAGACCCCTAGAGACCTCAACACAGAGACCCCTAGAGACCCCAACACAGAGACCCCTAGAGACCCCTAGAGACCTCAACACAGAGACCCCTAGAGACCCCAACACAGAGACCCCTAGAGACCCCAACACAGAGACCCCTAGAGACCCCTAGAGACCCCAACACAGACCCCTAGAGACCCCAACACAGAGACCCCTAGAGACCCCAACACAGAGACCCCTAGAGACCCCAACACAGAGACCCCTAGAGACCCCAACACAGAGACCCCTAGAGACCCCAACACAGAGACCCCTAGAGACCCCAACACAGAGACCCCTATAGACCCCAACACAGAGACCCCTAGAGACCCCAACACAGAGACCCCTAGAGACCCCAACACAGAGACCCCCTAGAGATCCCAACACAGAGACCCCTAGAGACCCCAACACAGAGACCCCTAGAGACCCCAACACAGAGACCCCTAGAGACCTCAACACAGAGACCCCTAGAGACCCCAACACAGAGACCCCTAGAGACCCCAACACAGAGACCCCTAGAGACCCCTAGAGACCCCTAGAGACCTCAACACAGAGACCCCTAGAGACCCCAACACAGATACCCCTAGAGACCCCAACACAGAGACTACTAGAGACCCCTAGAGACCCCAACACAGAGACCCCTAGAGACTCCAACACAGAGACCCCTAGAGACCCCAACACAGAGACCCCTAGAGACCCCAACACAGAGACCCCTAGAGACCCCAACACAGAGACCCCTAGAGACCCCAACACAGAGACCCCTAGAGACCTCAACACAGAGACCCCTAGAGACCCCTAGAGACCCCTAGAGACCCTAGAGACCCCTAGAGACCTCAACACAGAGACCCCTAGAGGACCCCTAGAGACCCCAACACAGAGACCCCTAGAGACCCCAACACAGAGACCCCTAGAGACCCCAACACAGAGACCCCTAGAGACCCCAACACAGAGACCCCTAGAGACCTCAACACAGACCCCTAGAGACCCCTAGAGACCCCTAGAGACCTCAACACAGAGACTCCTAGAGGACCCCTAGAGACCCCAACACAGAGACCCCTAGAGACCCCAACACAGAGACCCCTAGAGACCCCAACACAGAGACCCCTAGAGACCCCAACACAGAGACCCCTAGAGACCTCAACACAGAGACCCCTAGAGACCCCTAGAGACCTCAACACAGAGACCCCTAGAGGACCCCTAGAGACCCCAACACAGAGACCCCTAGAGACCCCAATACAGAGACCCCTAGAGACCCCAACAGACCCCTAGAGACCCCTAGAGACCCCAACACAGAGACCCCTAGAGACCCCAACACAGAGACCCCTAGAGACCCCCACACAGAGACCCCTAGAGACCCCAACACAGAGACCCCTAGAGACCCCAACACAGAGACCCCTAGAGACCCCAACACAGAGACCCCTAGAGACCCCAACACAGAGACCCCTAGAGACCTCAACACAGAGACCCCTAGAGACCTCAACACAGAGACCCCTAGAGGACCCCTAGAGACCCCAACACAGAGACCCTTAGAGACCCCAATACAGAGACCCCTAGAGACCCCAACAGACCCCTAGAGACCCCAACACAGAGACCCCTAGAGACCCCTATAGACCCCAACACAGAGACCCCTAGAGACCCCTAGAGACCCCTAGAGTCCCCAACACAGAGACCCCTAGAGACCCCAACACAGAGACCCCTAGAGACCCCTAGAGACCCCAACACAGAGACCCCTAGAGACCCCTAGAGTCCCCAACACAGAGACCCCTAGAGACCCCAACACAGAGACCCTTCGAGACCCAGATCCCGAGCCCAGCTCAGACTCAGATTGCACTTTTTGCTTGATGCAAAGATTTGTGAAGTTTAATAATGTTTTAAAATATGATCTTGTACTCGGAATGACTCGATGTGACCCAGCGAGCTGAGTCGCACTTCTCAACGAGTTTAAAGAACGGATTAGATAACGGAGTCTGACATGAATGTGAGCGTGCTCACCTTAATAATGTTCGTAATTATTATTACGGTAATTTACTTTTTGGGGTAAGTGCTGTTCGGGGAGCACCTGTGAAGGCCGGCACGGCACACGAGGGGGTGGGTGGCCAGCACCACGCCCGGCCGCCTTTGTCTCCCCAGTGGCGATGTTTACTACACACCGCACCAGGTACTCATTTGAGGCTGAGTCTACCTAGGGGAGGCCCAGAACCGGTTCAGATAATCGACACTGGTGGTGGCCGTGGTGGTGGTGTTTCGGCGAATACTCCTGCAGCGTTATCCAGGGCGGCCCGCCCGACTTGAACCGCGAACAACAGCCGGAAAGTGGATACCCGGAGTTTGATTGCAGCACAGCCTCGATTAACACGCTGCTCGTAGTAGTCGTAGTAGATGCGTTCCTGAAAATAGTTTATCAAGCTTATAAATGGTGTGGTTATTGAACAGTGGTGGTGTGGTTGTGGTGACAGGCGGGCGGGTGGGAGAGGCTAAGGAGGGGGTTGGGTTAGTCCAGGGGTTCGGCTACTAAACTAACAAGAAGTTAATTTTTTGTGTCGAATTCGGTAACAACAGAACAACAACTGAGTATTTGAAGATTCCCCAACGCACTGCGGTGGTGAATACGAGAGGGTTGGGGGTCCTTGAGGAGCCACGGCACGATGCAAGTCCTCCCAAGAGCCGCGTGCGGCTCTCGCGAGACGCACGTTTCCGAGTCCCTGGCGTCGGCCGTGTCAATGCATAAACTCCACATTCCTGTGGCGGGAGCCAGTCTCGCCGGAGGCCACCCACTGATTGGCTTACCACAAAATTGTCGCTTCGAATCGATCTCGGCAGATTGGACGGCGCTTGCCCACCCCACCCTCTCGGCACTGCGAATGTAATCAGCTGTGACATGAAAGGGAAGATCGGCTGTAAATATCCCCACGCCGAGGCTGTCGGAATGCGTCCGATCTGCCCCATCTCGGTAGCGAGCAAACCCGGAGGTTGATTTTATTAGTATTACTACTACTACTACACGCTTTTATTTAACTCTGTTGTTGTACCCTCAAATCTTGTAACTCAATTTAAGCCACTTCCCAATGTGGTATCGACTGCAAACCTGGTATACTTATGTAATACCGATGACAATACTATATTCTATCATTAAAAGTAACGAAAAAATGTAACAATCTTTTGTATATGTTATGTTTTGGCTTGGTTCTCATTGTCCACGCTCAACTCACGTTGGCTGTAATTGATCACGGGGCTACTTCCTGGGCCATTACTAGTACGGTACATTTAATAAAAGCGTGTTTTTAAAAAAAAGGTTTTTTTTGATTACTTCTAAACTTTTTATTTTACCAGCCAAGGCCCTACTGAGCTTCTGTGTAACGCTTTTTCAGAAGCGCCCACCTGGCTCTCACAAACGATAGCCCAACGAAGTGGCTCCTCGTCGTCACGTGGGAATTTATAGCAGCCACCACGCACCCGTCTCTCTCCCCATAAACACGTGCAAGTGTTTATTTATACACATCCCATCAGCCGGCATTGCGGGAGTGCATCATTTCAGCTGCGGCGATTCAAAATACGCGAAAAATCCCTCCGGACCGGTTTTGACACGCAGTATCTCATCGGCGAGCCGGTGGCGGGGGGGGGTTGTGGTGTCGGAGACGGCTGACTTCGGTGTGTTTAGAGACTGGTGTGGGAGAGACAGCGTCTGTCTCGTTACTACTCAATGATGGTCGTCTCCATGATGACGACGTTGGTTGTGTCGAACCGCGTCTCACAAGGGGGGTGGGAGGGGGTCATCGGTGTCCCTGCGGCCACGGTGTGGGTAGCAAGAGAGCCGCACGGCCACGCCAACTGTTGTGCTGTACTTCTACGCGGTCCGCCTTCACCGAGCTGCACGTTGGCTGCCCGCGGTGAAGTATGGTCAAACCACCCCCCCCTCCACCACCCCCCCACACGACCGGCACAGCACCGTGTGCGTGCGGAGCCAACACCAGTCGGGGAGAGACAAGCAAACTCCAAATATACAGCAGCAGGCGTCAGGGTCGGGATGGAACCCACGACCTCCTGCATTCCAGGCGAGGGAGTCAACATTTTAAAACGTTCTATTTGACCAGGTAATGTTCACTGAGCTATATAGCTCTCTTCCAAGTGGCTACTCACGTGGAAATGTACAGCAGCCGAATCGTCTAAACACGTCGATTGTAAATGTGGAGGGGAAACGCCGAAGAACCCGGAGACAACCACGTGACCACGGGAAGACGCGTCAGGGTCAGCATGGACCTCCTGTGTACCAGGCGAGGTAGTAAACATCCCCCCAGCCACCATGGCGCACGCTTGTTTCGCCAAAGTGAGCGTGGAATATGTGGGCCAGTAGCAGCCGTGGGTGGCGCACGACGAATCGTGATTTCTCACCTCCCTGTGGCGATTTTGGGGCCCGCAGAGTCCATCGCAGAGAAATGTTCTACGAAAGATGCTCTCTCGGGATCGTTTGGAGACTCGGGGTTTTTGTTATTTTTGTGTTTGGTGTTGTTGTTCCCCCTCCCCCACCCCCCCCCCGCACCTCCGATTAGCGCGGTTAGCTGCGTACGGTGCGAAAAAAAGTTCACACACACAAACACAGCTGCTCCTTTGTGAGTCGCCACAATTCGCCTCCGACCTTGGAGGAAGCCTCCAGCAGCGTGCGTCCAGCCGAGGTGTTTGCGACTGCTCATACAGGTCCTGGTGGCTCACAGATGCGCCATCGTACAGTCGCAGTGAACAGCAAAGGGGCGCAATTTGATCCGTAG